AAGTTATAACGAGAATTGCTCTCTCTCTCTCTCTCTCTCTCTTTCTCTCTCCTGCCATGAAGTTTTCCACCTCCGAGTTCCATGAGCGCGCGTACATACCTTACCCCATTTTTCTCGCTCTTCCGCTCTTCTGCCATCTCTCTCAGCCTTTGCATTTTTTCCGTAACATCCATCTCTTTCTCTCATCTCTATTTATGCGGCTACTGTGGAATTGTTCGCGTGTATATCCCCCGCTGCGCTGCGCTCGCCCCCTGTATAAGCTGTGTACATCGCAGACATTTTTTTCCAATGCAAAACCCACCATCTCTCTCTTTCCTACGCTCGCTCTCCTCTTTCGGAATACTCTTCGCGTTTGTCCCCGCTGCCTTTCTTCACGCCGGATATTCGTACGGCGCGAATAAAACGCTGGCATATTTCAGACTTATCGCCCCCTTCTCGTGCCTGCACCGAGTATTCTCAGCTCCTTTACTGCACCTAGTTTCATTCTTTTCCGGTTTACGGTATTACCGTACCAAGCTATTACACGCGTTTCGACGTTCTTATCCTTGTCTTGGAGCACGCAATACTACTCTATCCTGCTGTTTTATTGTTTTGCGACTTCTCGAGACGCTGCTCGTCCATGAAGTATGGCGTTTTTAGCTCGATTATATTATATATATTCGGAATCAGAAATGCTTTCGCACTTGAATTTGCACATTTTATTTTATTAATAATATTTTTATTAAGTGCAAATTTAGATGGGAATCATCTTTGACTCGCAAATACTATCTGAATAAAAAAATATTAATATCTTGATATTAAAAGTATGACACATATAGAATGTGTCAAACTCTTTTCTCCTTTATGTATGTGCTCTTTAAGTTAATTTATCTGCAATATATCTTGAAAAGAAAATTTGATTAACGCAATATTTTCGTCTAAGAATGTTTAATAATAAATGGAAACTTTAATAATAAATTTAACTTTAATAATAAATGGAAGGAAAACCAGCAAAAACATGTTAAAAGTTTATTTCGGAAATAAAATCTTATTTCGGTATTTTTCGAATGTTGCATATTTCTCGTGTGGATATGCTACATAAATAAATAAGTTACAGTAGCTGCAATAAAGCGACCTGTGTTATTGTTTTCGTCGACAAGAGAAACATTATTCTGAAAATTTTATTTTGCACATACATATTGAAGCCAAATATTTTTATGATTTCTTAATGATTTCGCCTTAATGATTGAATATATATTTTGACAAATAATAATGTGCATGTATGTATTAATATTTAAAAAAATACAAAAGTTATAATTACAATTTCAATAAAGCTTTACCGTTCAATCTTTAATAACAATAATTGAAATATTAATATAAACGTTGCAATTTATGCAATTTATGTATCTCATTAGTATTTTCCAAGATGATTTAATGGCTTGTTTCCCTATTACGATTATCGTACCATTAAACGGCTTGGATTAATTTCAATGTGTCTGATTATTGATACTGTCACACTACTGTGGAAACCCTATTATACTGTCAGACTGTCGCGCTTAAGTACCGAATGGTACTTTGAGTAAAGCTCTCAATATAATCGATATTGAATGGCTGGAATGGTATCAGCCCTTTGATCCGCATTGATTTACAAGGATATTGTCGCTATTTGTCAAATCTTGTGTTATCCAACAGTCAAGAACGAGAGATCTGTATAATTCATTCGGAAGATAATTAGGGCAGTGCGTGATCCAATTATCTGTAATATCAACTTTGGAAATATAATTCTGATATATATATATATATGAAAAGAGAGAAAGAGATTGCTTTAATTTTTAAGTATTTTGAAAAAAATTATGTATTTTTTTATTATATGTTATTTCGATAAAAATAAAAAAATTTCAAATTATAACATATATATTAAAATTTATCAATTTCATTAAATAGATTGTGTGAATAATAATTACTCATTTCCCAAGTCTTCGCGTTTTTTAGAAATGGATTTAATCTCACCTAAAGTTTCCCAATTTTCGTAATAAAGAGAATTAAGCTATTTCGACTTTGAAAAATCTCGCCATTCTCTTTATTGTCTAGAAGTGATTCGCCGTAACGTTTCCTACAGCGAGAACGTGGTGCTACGAGAAGAAGGGAGTCAGGATGCGGAACGGGCGTGCCCGAGAATGGGCTCGGATAGCGGTGCCGTTTCAAGTAGCATTTCCTTGGCACAAACGACCCTCTTAATCAATCGCTAGCACCTCTCTTCTTCTCTCGGCAGAGCTCGGCAGAGACTCTACAGCTCGAGCCGCGCGCAGCCCCGTCCTCCACCTCTTGCTGCCGGAAGTCTAAAGCCCCCGTAACAAGCCGCAACTTCGATAAATCTCCCCGCACCGTCTTTCTTTCCCCGAGAGCCGCGATTCCGCGGCATTAGTAAGAACGAAAGGAGAAAGACGAAGGAAGGATATATCGCGGATCGATTTTGGCGAAGGCGCTCGAGGGATACGATACGAACGGAAAGGGTGAAGGACCTCCAATTCGAGAGAAGGAGGAGAAAAACTTATGAAAATCCGGGATTTATGGCAACGTGCGAGCGAGAATCGGACCAGGCCGCGCCGTGGTTCGGCTCTGACAAATCGTCCGAAAGTTAACGTTCTCGATCGTCCCTGGATCACCTTTTCGCAAAGATGGATCCCTCTCTCGATGCCCCATTCTAGAAAGAAAAAACCCCGATCCTTTCGATATTCCGTATTTTGTATCGAAAGTTTGTATGCATTTCACTTTGATAGTAGAAACTTTCGACAAGGTTGTTTCTTTTTCTAAAAGTCGGGAAATCAATAAATGCTGCGATATCGGTTTTCAAATTTTTTTCATGTTGGGTTAAATAAGTGCTTGGAGCTATAGTATATAATTTAGGAAGGAGAGTATGTTTTCTCGCGAAACTCGCATTCTAAAAAACGAAAAATACTGCGGCAAAATTGCGATTGAGTATTATGAACTCTTGAAACGTATCGATATAAGTATGATCTAAATAAGAGTTTAATATCGGATTTCATCGTAAAATTTTCCAACCTATTCCTCGAGTTAATATAGCGAGATCAAATTTCTTTTCCAATAAGTATAGGAAATTGCCATTTTACATTCAATTTCAAGTTTGATTGATCAAACATTTTCAAATTTCAGAAAATTTTGATAAAATTATAGTACCAGAAAACATTTTTCCCAACGCTCCGTGTTTTCAGAGAAAGAAATATCGAGAGATGAATTTTGATCAACTTTGAGATTCATCAATAGATTTTGAAAATAACTAAACGATAATAATCTGGGACGCTCTCTATATAAAAAAAATAGATGTGTAAAAATTTTACACAAAGTGTTTGCTGTTTTATGTCTCTAAATTTGAAATACAATCTCTGGTTACCGAAAGATATCTTGCCGCTACATCTTTCGATCTTTGGACATGAAAAGAACTCGCATGTCTCTTGCAAAATTTTTCGAATTCAAGTTTTCCGTATCGGCGACCGTCCGTAAAAAGACTCGACGAAGTAGAATTACTTCGAAGGAGAAGGAACATGAATGCTCCGGTTGAATGGAAAATGGCAACTACAAGGAAGGTCTAAAAGTTTCGAACTTCGGGGAAACCGGATGGGGAAAGATTGCGAGTTTAAGCATCGACATAAACGATTCGGCTTCTTGCTTTCTGCGCTCGAGAAACGATCCGAGCCGAATAGTCACCTGCGCCGCTTAGAAGGAAGCAATAACCGTTTGATTCCGGACATTTCTGAAGTCGAGCTCTCAATTGCTAGACTCCTCTGTTCGTAAGAATAGATAAAATCAGAAAGCTCGCTATATACAGTGGCGAAGATATAATTTCAAGATCCTCGACCCGCTTCCTTTTATCGACTCATTGAAGTCTATTTTCTTATATAGTCATTTTTATCTGATTAATTCATTAAACCTTAGACCAATTTGAATTTACATTGCGATTGAAAAAACATTCCGATTATGATAAAATTATTCATTCTTTAAAATTGTAGAAACCAGTTCTTTAAAGTAGAAATAGAAATATATTGTTTTAAAGATTAAAGATGTGTAAAAATGTGCAAATATTGTTAATCACACATAAACTTTGGATAATCAAACGTTTCAATTGCGACTTGTGGCAGTTCACTGACAAGAACATTTACGTAAATAGCTTTGTCGGAAGAATATGATCACATAAAGCAAGCATTACTGTAATCCGTCGAAATAATTCTGCATTAGAGCACACACAGATTCGGATACTGAGGCTAATCTACTCAGATCCAGAAACGAGTGCGCTTCGAAAACGCAGGATTTGAACGCGATTCTAAAAATACGAGAAGAGCGACCTCCATTGTAATAAATCTCGATCTAACCGTAGAAATTTATACGTAGTATAAATCAATTATGTATTAGCAACGCTACAATTTAGAAATACTCGAGGAAAAAATCTTTTTTTGTAACAAATTACAATGAAAAAAATGTAAATAAATAAAATAATGAGTTTACGCGTGCGATTTTCATTCGAAAAAGCTTAAAAATAAATTTTAATAAAAATAGAACATTTACTCTTATATTCGCAGAGAAATTAATTAATTAAATATTATAAATGAAATATTATAAAATATTATAAAATTATAGATATATTATAAAATTATAAATATTATAAAATTATGCGTTATTAATAATTTTAATAATATTTTTTGCAATATCATAAAATATTTATAATAAAATGCGAGTTATCATTTTATTATTTATATTATAAAATAATGACTCTTTGATATCGCTTGTTAACTTTTTCTACAATTATTTTGATAAAATCTTAATTTACTAATAACAGTAATAGATGAGATCGTTAAACTCGCTATTTTTTTAGAATTAGTCGATCGATCGCAGCAGCTTCTATGTCTAACCATCTTCTACGATATCATAACAAGCATACTTGTCGTACGCGCGCGTATCGTGTTTGATCAGTAAACAAACGTGAAAAAGAGAGTAAGAGGACTCACCTGTGCCAGCCGCTCCTAGCCTCAGGACTGCATCGCTTTGAAGAGAGATGGAGAGGGTGGCGGTGTCCTCGAGGCGGGCGAGAACCTCTTCGGGAATGTCCTCAGGTTCGCGGAGGCGGAGGGTGACCTCACCCCCGCCTCCGCCACCCTGGCCACCTCCACCCCCGGGACTCGTCGACGCCGAGTACATGAACACAGATCCGTATCCATGTAATGACTGCAGCGGCAGCCTCACGCCGCCCACTTCCCCGACCGGACCCTGAAAATCAAAATATAAAAATCTCGTCATTAAAGATCCGGATAGCAATAAAAATAGTGATTTCAATCATGAAATTATTAAATTCCTTGTTTCAAATTACAAGTTCATGAATGTTTTAGACAAATATTTTAAATTTATAAAAATTGTAGACATTAATGATATATATTATTCTATTATCTTTTTAATTCATAAATTGATAAAATATAACTAATTTTAACAGCAATTTTTTAATGTAATATTCATTAATTTAATATCCATGAAAAGTAACTTTGCAAAAAAAAAAAAAAAACATTGTATTTTTATGCACGACACAATTTTACACGAGGTTCGATAACAAAATCATGGTAATTCAAATAATATAAAAATCTAATAATGCATTTCGCGCACGTAATGTATACACAGAAATATGAAAAAAAAAGCGCAGCTCTGTTTCGCCGAATAAAACGATCGCGAAAACACTTGGCACGTATGCTCCCGTAGAGAAACATCGAGAAGCCGCATAATATTTGCTGTGGAATTCGATTGGCCGGGATGAATGGCCGGAAGGCGCGTCCGAATCGATCATACAGCACACGTCATATTAAATTTAAGACCACAATACGGCCCTTCGTCCGGCCGGTATCCCGCGGGAAGACCCTTTTCTCTTTCTCCCTCTTTTGTGTCGTTCCTCCTGACTCTTGTTTCACTTCTGACGCGACCATCGCCACCGCAGGCAAACGTTCTCTTTTACGAGCGGAAATATTTTGCCAATTTCGCTGTCGATGCAAATTTCAATTCACGAGCGTCAATATTTGCTGACTCGCGCCGAAAAAGGATTTTGATGTACCGGCATTTTATCCGCCATCGAACGCGCGCTTGACTTCCGCGCGAGAAAAGTACGTATCGGCGAAAAACAAAGAGAGAATTCCCGACGAATGGGAACGAAATCGGTCTTTCCTCCCACTCGAGATCACGATTGAGAAAAAAGAAGCAGAGATACACGGACCTTCCTGAACGCAAGCTCGATTCTGCTTGAGATATTATTTTAATGGAACGGAGAGATTTCAATTACCGCCGCGCGTGTTGCTCCGCGTTGCACCGTTTCCGGTACATCGTTGGAAATAATAAGAAATATCGAAGGAACGCGGTGAGATAATGATAGTCCATATTACTTGGAAAAAAGAGCAAATGCGATATCGAGATAGGATGGAAATTGTCCGGTGTTTTGTGGCGCGATCGATCGCTAAGTTAATATCATCACCCCAGCGAAATGGGATTATAGTGTTCACTATAAATAAATTATTCTGTTATTTCCCAAACTCGCAAGAGAGAGAGAGAGAGAGAATCGCCTTTGGCAAAGTTCATCGACTGCGACCCATCGTGCGAAAGTCGGTATTGTTTTATTAAAACATAATAAAAAGTTTCTCATAAAAGATATATGAGAGGATATGCTTTTTGAAGTAAAATTAAAAATATGTCTGTTCCATGAGAGAAAATATCGAAAAAATATGATCAACAACAATCTGCGGTATAAGCAAACTGATAGAAATAACTAGCACGTTACATCGTCATTGATGATAAAAAAAACTGTTTTTCAGAAATGCGCATGCAACGTCAAAGCTAAACACGGGTATGTTTGTGCCAGGCATAAATTTGAAATAACAGATGTTGTTGGTTTCTGTAAACAGGAAAGTCGAGCGAATCGAACAAACCAGAATTAAAAATATCAGTATAATACTGATACAAACAAGGTTTACTGGAAATGTTTGTGGAACTCGGGCACGTATAAATGCTATCTGTATAAAGGCAATGCGCCGCTAGAGAGTACAAACACTGGTTTTAATTCCGACACGAATCTATACAGATGAAACGTACAAATATAGAGGTCTCTCTCGATCGATTACAATATTATGTGTTATAATTAATAAAAAAATCCAATATTTATAGAAAAAAATAAAGATAGTGAAAAAAATAAATCTCTAAATTTATATCCACTATATTCCTATCTTATTTCTATCAAAAGTTGTTACCGTAGAATTATTATTATCTCATACGCATAAAAAAATTAATGCATTAAATCTAAAACATAAATACATTCTTATCATATGTAAGCTCGTATTACATATGTGCTTTTACACATATTACCTTTCTACACAGTTGCAAAAACACGAGACGCGTGAAAAGATACTTGAAATATATTTCTGATAATTTTTTAAATGTCAACACGATTATATTTGCGCTTATATTAAAACATTTAAAGTTTGCGCATATATCCCTAATGCGTCCGATTTAATGGTCAGCGTCGTGTATCTACTGGCGCGAATTCTCCCATTGTTAGTGGTCGGGGCGCGAACCGCGTGTTCTCTCTCTATTATTTACGTAAATTGATTCGTACCGCCGACTATTTCCGCATCACGTATTCGCGGCTATCAGCCGGCATTATAGGCGGCAAGAGTAAAGCCCATCGCGCGCCGTGCGATGAGAGCAATTTATTTTAATGGTCATTTTCGTAATGGGTCTTTGAACAGGGCGCATGAACATTTCTGAATAGGCCACGTATACACGGCATACATATCTTCCGCCATTCCTATAGCCCTCTGTTATGCACGTGGTCGACGCGCCACGCGCAAGGGGACATAGCGAGAATGCGCGGTAACTGTGCCATTCGCGAAAATGGCACCTGCTACCGGAAACAATACCCACCCGCCTCTACACTTTTCCATTTTAGCAACCGCGCGAAAACTTTTCCGTCCTTTTTCCGTCCTCTTTCTCGTTTTTATGACCGGCATTGTAGTCTCGTCGGGGAATTCGGTACAATTGACGATGCCTCAACCCACATTTATGACGCTCAAGGATCATTTCCATGAAGTTGCCATTAATTGAATATACCCTGACAACGGTGATTTATGTCACGCGTTATTCTCGGGAAGCATTTTTCTAATGCAATAACGACGCTCTCGATCGTATCGTGTTTACAATTAGCCAACAATACAATTTTTGTTTTTCGAATACGAATATACATTACGCGATGAATGATATTTTCCTCTCTGTCCGATTCCGCCATCTCGGCGAGGCGGAGAATTTTTTTATCAGAATCACTCTTCTGTCACGAATAGCGAATAAACGAAGGAAAGCGATATCGAGAGACGCCAGAAGTTAAATCGATTTCAAGTTCACCGAAAGGACGAAAGGATTCTCCGATTCGACTTGCGTCGTTGCAGCAAAAGCGAGCTTCAAAGTCGGAATCCGGCGTTCTCGTTCGGCAAGGTGGAAGATTACGGTAATGGATACGGCGAGGAGGAGATCGCTGAGAGAGAAAACCAGACGGAGCACGTACGAGCACACATCACGCTGGATCGACGTTATTCTCGATACACGAGCTCGGTCAAGGACGAAAGTTCCCTACGGGCACTCGGATAAATATTCATATTACTCGCGGGACTCTTCGAAAAGAGAGCTGATAAACATAAGACTCTTAGTTTATATGTAAATTTTTACGCGAGAGTTTACAAAACACTCTTTTCACGACTCCCGGATAAGTCGTTTCTCATGCACCAAATATGCGTTTCATTGTTTACGCATTCGTCATCTGCTTCTCTTTAAAAGTTTCTTTATGTTGGCATCAACTTGAAAAATGATTGAATATCGTATCGAATTGTACTTCCACTGATAAAACCAACGTAACAACCACTGATGAAATTAACGATTGATGAAATCAAATTACTCAAGATCAAAATAAACCAGAGTTGCACAAAGTTAAAGTTTGCCAGAGATAAAATTATCGCGGAGAAAAATAATATTTCCTATATAGAAAAAAATGTCTACGACAATTTTGATATATTATATTATCTGTAGCAAAAACATTGATGTAAAAAATTTGATTTCAGATAGAAACGTGAAAGGAAATAAAAACAAAGAAGAGAATAATATCTGACCGTAGCAAGTATTATAGCTTAAAAATGACTTTACCACATCCAATTTTACTTTAACGGATATAATAATTTTTCACAAATTGTCGACGCTTCGAATCGCTTCCGGATGATGAAGAGCCGAGTGTTCGGGATTTAGGAAGAAGTAATAACAAACGGAAACTAGAACCCTCGGAAGCCAGATAGATTTTATTCCGGCGCGTATGCAAATTGACAAATTGAATTTCACCTCGCGCCCCGTTCCCAAATAAAAGAGAGCGATACGAGCCGATATATGGCCCGCAAAAAACCGAATGAAAAGCGGATATGGCCGCGATTTCATGCTGCTGCGCGATTCCGATTTCAGAACATTAATCAGCATCCTTCGATCCGGAATTTCCAATAAACGGCGCCCAAGTATCAAGTGATTATTTACGAGACGCCATACACGACAATTATTTCAATTTCATCTTTTTAGCTTCGAGAAAACACGCTATTTTTCTTCGTATACGTCGCGATACACAAAAGATACACACCAATTACGTTAAATTCTCTCTCTAAAAATAACTTAAACGGACAGTTTTGGCACACATTCCAAACGTAACAAATTTCGCCCGAAGATAAGAAAGATAATCACGATATATTTTTATATCTCTATTAGAACGCGATAGCGTACAGATTTGGCCAACGTTCAAGACATTGCAAGCTCCGCTGAAAAGGATCACGGCGTCTAGAATTCAAAGTATAAATCGGAGCCGCAGCCGAGATTTTCCGAGTCCGAGCGAGTCCGTCGATGCGAAGAACGAGTAGAAGAGTCGGGACATCGCAATCGTCCCACGTATACGTACGGCGAACTGCCAAGTCCCTTCTTGCACGACAAACAACCGGAAATGTAGCCATAACAATGCGGATATGCGCCGCATGCGCGCGGCGAGAGAGTTTTCGCGTATCGTACGCACAACGGACGCGACGCAGATTTCCTCGGCTATAACGCAAAATAACGAGAACCGCGCTCGTAAACGCGTAAACTCCCTCCCTTCCTCTCTCCCGCCTGCCTCGCTTCCCGTCTCGCTCGGAAAATCGAAGCGACCCGTAGCACATCGCGGTCCATAC